AACTGTAATTAGGCCCTGGACCTGCAACATTCCAAACTCTCTACAATCCTTGAAGTCCTAATTAGTTAATCAGCCTTGCAGAAGGTTCAGTGGGAGGTCAGCTTCTTTCTGGGAACTTTCATTCCCACATCACACACTGGTTAATACCATAGTCTTGGAGAAAACGTTGGAAGGCGTCCCGCTATGGCTGAGGAGAAAGTAAGTCTGCCCATCTCTCCACTTCTGAACAGCGCAGTATGGAGAGGCTTGGGGCAGTTAGGCAAGGAGAAGAAACGGGAAGGTGGCGTCCACATTAGAGAGGAAAAAAATCAGTCTGTGTGCAGATATATACCTTAGTATATAAACAATACAACAGCCACTCCCTGAACTACCAGAATCAAACTAAGTCAAGTTTCAGGGTACAAAACCAACACTCTTGTGAGACCCTGACTTCCTACAGCGCTGCATAATAAAAGCGGCAGACACCAGAGCAGGTGGCCTGGCTTGCCCTGGGCTGCTCATGTGGCCACACCCAACACCTGCTTCGAATGTAAGGCATGCCAGCCTCAACTGTGCCAGGCCATAAACCCTCCTAGGCCGCTGGTGATTCCGCTGCTGCCACTTTCAGCATCAGAAGCCACCAGCCTCAGGGAAGCAGATTCTATGAGTTCCAGAGAAAACCTTCTCAAAGGATTAGCTCAGACTGGAGCATTTACAGCCGGTTTTCTCAACTTACTGAAAAGGATGGAAGAATGGGCTTGTCAGACTCACGGAGGAGGAAAACCACCGCCTTCGATAATCAGGACTTAAGTCAAGTTTGCAAAAGGCTTTTCCTGCCTCTCTTGGAGGGGAGAAACTGAGCAGGCTGCTCTGTCCTCATCTTGGAACTGTGTTGGTTTCTCATGCTCACGGAAGTTTTCTCAGAGCCTTTCTGCACGGTTTCCCTGCCCTGGCCTTCTGGAAAGTTTCCTCACCTCCCGCCCCATTGGTTTTGGTTAGAGTGATGGTACCTCAAGAGGGCTACCTCTCCTGGATTGTCTTACCCCTCCTAACCACCAGCCTAAGGTGAAGACATGGACTAGAAGGTGTAGAGGGCTCAGGGATAACGAAAATCCCAGGATCTTGTTACACTGCAAGCTGACGGAGCGCAGGTCCCAATGCTGCATTCTGACAGTTCCCAAGCGGTACTCCTCTGCTGGGTCAGAGCAAACTCCTGTGATGGTCTGGATGAGAATGGCCCCACAGGCTTGTGTATTTGTGACTGGCCAGCAGTTGGTGGGAGCTGTTTAGGCAGGACTAGGAGGTCCATCACTAGGCCATTCCCAGTTAGCTCCTTTCCTCTGCCCTGTACTTGTAGCTCAGATGTAAGCACTCAGGTACTCAGTGCCATGCCTGCCTGCTGCCATGCTATGATGGTCATGGACTTTAACCTTCTGAAACTCAGCAAGGCCCCAGTACTCTCTTAGAAGTGTCTCTTCACAGCCACAGAAAAAGAATACAGCTTCTAAGTAGTAAGGGGCAAGACAAGAGTAAAACAGAAAGGACAAGCTTCAGGAGGTCACAAGTGCTGCTGTCACACACGTCACCTCCAAGGTCTTCTCTGCAAGGTTCTGTCTACGCCTTTAAGAACTGGGGCACACTGGCCAGGCGATGGTGGCACATGCGTTTAATCTCAGCAGAGACAGGTGGATCTCTGTGAGTTCGGGCCAGCCTGGTCTACAGAGATCCAGGACAGGCTCCAAAGCTACAGAGCAACCTTGTCTTGAAAAACCATTAAAAAAAAAAAAGAACAAACAAACAAAACCAACAACAAAAACTGGGGCACACAAAGGCCCAGGCCCAGCCACAGACAAAGGATTACTTCACACCCTCCTTACATCCACAGGAAAGCAGCCCTGCCTCTGGGGCAGCTGTCACAGAACGAACAGGCTCCTCAGAAGGGAAGGACGGCAGATGAGTTCTCTGGTGGGCCCTGCCCTCTGACAGAGCGGCCTTCACTTTTCCCAGCAGCAGCTTTATTTAGCGGATGCTGATGTACTCAGTTCTGTGCACAGGTCCCTCCAAAACTGCTTCCCTGAACTCTGCCAATGCATCCCTAAGGAAATTTATCCCATGTAATAAGTAAGTAAAGCTCAAGGTAATATGTCTAACACCTCATAGCTAGGAGTGTCCTTTCCTCCCATGCATTAAACCATAAACCACATACCTTCGGGACAAGAATCCTCAGGATAAGATTAAGGTAACAAGTCAATAAGCTAAATGACTGGCAAGTGATACTTCAAGGCAAAAAGTCACATTGTGGAGTTGCCCTAACACTGGGTTCCTTTGTTGTACACCACATGCTCTTCTGAGCTAGATGGTCAGTGTAGATTCTGGACCCACAGGACAAATTCCAGGTAGAGGTCTGACTCATCACCACCGCCAAATTGCCCGCATGGTAGCGGGCACAGGACCACATGGAAAAGTCTGAATTAAGCAGAACCAGCTCATCTACCCAAGCTGCAAAGGAAAACGGAATGTTGACATTTTGACTCTTCATATATAAACAAAGACAAATCGTTATTGGAGGGAAATTTGTAGTCTGGGTCAAGAAATAAGCAAGTTGTGGGGACTACTACAGTGAATTGGGAAATCCTGCTCAGTTAAAGCTACCTTTACCTGTTCCAACGTGCTCACCAATTTCCTTTTTAAAAGAAATCAAACGTAACATCACATAACTCTTTTTAAACAAAATGCAAGCCAACAAGTGACCATTAGTTTGCCACCCCTGTCCCTCAGGACCACCCATCTTTTCTTGTTGTACCTCCAGGAAGAATGGAAGCGGCAATTCATATCTGATATACTGGCCACGGGTGGCACTTGACACCACAGTAGCAATGCTTGGGTTTGGTCTTCACCACACGCAGCACACCAGGAGTAACTGAGGCAGTGTCTCCTTTGTGTTTCCTGGGAAGTGTAATAGTGGTCACAGTGACTTGTGCCATCTAGTCTAGTCAACAGCCCAAGATGGCAGGCTGCTTTCTGCCTTTGGGCAAACGCTCGTTTGATAAACGGCCTTGGTCTCCACTGCTCCTGCTGTAAGGACTGTGCACAAAGTCTCAGCAAACAGTTTAGGGAATGCTTACCAGGGGCTGCAGAGATGGCTCTGTGAATAGGAACGTGTAGCACTCTTCCAGAGGACCTGAGTTTGGTTCCCATGTTAGTAGCTTAATAACCTGTACTTCCAGCTCCAGGGGGTCTGGCCTTTGTGGGCACCCATACACGTGCCAAATTCTCATGCATATGCATTACGGTTTTTGTTTTTTTTTTTAAATCTTAAAAAAAAAGTTTACCATCGTTATGGAGATCTAGACCTTTTCTATAAAGCACCAAAGAATACAGTTACAGTCAATGCATCTAAGTCTGATTTTAGCTCAATAAAGAGATATTTGTGTATCTCTTATTAATAAGGCCGGCCACTAAAATGAGATTATTAGTGTGACATGGGACATCAGAGGAGGGGTCTAGCTCCAGGCAGTAGTCTTAGGATGATCTGATTATGCACCTACACAATATAGACTAGTCCACCTTTGACACAGTAAGAAGAGGGTGTGGCTGATGTATAAAGTGTTAGCAACACTGAGGCCTCCAGACTGGGCATTGCGGGAAATGTGGCTGGGTTCCTTGGGTATATAAAACTGTGTGTAGGGGGCTGGAGAGATGGCTCAGTGGTTAAGAGCATTGCCTGCTCTTCCAAAGGTCCTGAGTTCAATTCCCGGCAACCACATGGTGGCTCACAACCATCTGTAAAGAGGTCTGGTGCCCTCTTCCGGTCTGCAGGCATACACACAGACAGAATATTGTATACATAATAAATAAATAAATATTAAAAAACAAAAAACAAAAAACTGTGTGTAATAAAAAAGACAAAAAGGGATCCCAGAACCATATAACTGGGCCTGGTTTTGGTTTGTTTTCTTTGAGGCAGGATCTCACTATATAGCCTTGGATGTACTAGAACTCACTAAGTGAACCAACTTGGCTTTGAACTCAGAGATCTATCTGCCTCTGCCTCTAGAGTGCTGGAATTAAAGTGTGTGCCAACTACCATGCCCACCAGGGGCATGTGTTTCTATGCTCACGACTGTCTGGAAAGTAACACAAGGAACTTATGTGGGCCACATGGAGATGAACCCGAACAGATCTTACCCTTGAATTCTATACCCTTCTATCATTTCTTATTCTTTGTAGCATCAACCCTATAATTTCCACCAAGATCTTTGGTACGGCTGAGCAGCCAGTTGTTTCCTTCTAAGTGTGTAAGTCCACTGGTGAGCTCTAGCCCCATGGCTCTGATGATACTATCCAAACACCGACTCTAACATTTCTGCCTCCAGACAAACCCAATCTGACTTCCAGACATACAGCTCTGCAACTGTCTCCCTTTCTATAACTCTCCTTGGATGCTGAGTAGACATCTAGTTTCAACACATCCAAAAATTATCTTTTTCCCCAAACTCCCCTGTTAACAATCTTGCAAATCTTAGTTGATGACAGCCCAGACTTCTAGCTGTCCAGGTCCATAACCTCAGAGGAAAAAACTGATTGGAAAGCAGAGTCTGACTCATACAGCCAGTTACCCAAAAACAAAGACACTCCTGGGTACTGGGATTAAATGCACCAAATCATTAGAATGCTTTTCTAAAACACGCCTAAAGAAAATCATTTTAACTCCAGAATTTGAATTATGACACTTTAGTATTTTTTTAAAATGTCACTTTTTGCAAGCTGAAAACCAAATTTGACCTAATACATTAGCAGGGATCTTGGCCAAGTCTTGTAATACTGAGCAGAATGATGTCATAGTACCAGGTGCCAGCAGTAGGGTTATAAACTCCAAGCACACGTATCTACAGTTTTACTAAGAAATAGCCCAAGTCTCATCCTTAAAGATGAGTCACGTACCCTCTTGATCTACGAAAGCAGGCTCACCTGAGTTTTGTGGAAGGTAACCTATGGAGAAACCAGAGGAAGTATTTTGGTTTTGTTTTTTTATTTCAGAGGTCTCACTTGGCAGCTCTGGTTGTCCTAAAACTCCACGATCAGGGCATATACCACCATATCCAGCGAAGCTTACATTATGAAAACATGCTTTGCGGTTTAAAAATTCTAGGTTGCTGTCAGTTTTAAAAAAGTCTATTACAAGACAGGCGGCGGTGGTGCACGCCTTTAATCCCAGCACTCGAGAGGCAGAGGCAGGCGGATCTCTGTGAGTTCGAGGCCAGCCTGGTCTACAAGAGCTAATTCCAGGACAGGAACCAAAAGCTACAGAAAAACCCTGTTTCGAAAAACCAAAAAAAAAAAAAAAAGCCTATTATAGATGGATCACAGATATTTAGTCTTATCAGAATATGAAGGTTTGAAGGTAGAGAGCATATAGGATGAGACAGATATTTTAATTTTACCATGATGTGCAGGTAGAGGAGAGTGTGAGGGGTAAGATAGATATTTTAAAAATAAATTACTTAGTAATAAGAAACTATACATAATACATTTTCCATATGCTATAAAAACTGACGACAAAGGCAAAAGGGAGGCTCACCCCAAGGGTCGCACTTTTCACTACGGAACAGTCTGCCTTCCCAGACAATGAGCCTCACAGTTCTGACATGATGCATACGCAGGTGGAAAAACTTGTCAAGCTGCGCCAGGGCCAGCAGAGGAAAACAGCATGTCCTAATTAGCTAATTACAAAGCATGAACATTTTGGAAAAGGACTCAAACAATCCGGCCATTGTCTTGCAAAACATCTGCAAACTGTAGACTTCCTCAGCCCTCAGCCATAGTTCCTGCCCCACTAAGTGGGTGCCTTGTCTCTTCAGAAGGCCGAGGTGACTGCTAGTCATCAAAGTCTGGAATGTCATCATAGGAGTAACCCCGGTAGCCTTTGGAGGCATAGTAGGCGATGCGCAAATGATAAAATCCAGGCAGGAACACCAAAATGCCAATGATGAGGACAGGAACAGCTCGGTCTGCCCCCTGGTGGCAGAAGGAAAATATTATTACCACACAAGTTACACCTTCGTATCTCTTCCTGCTGATCATAAATTGTCACCCCCTCTTTTCTCTTATCCGTGTTGGGGATTGAATTAAGACCCTTGGGCATGTTAGGCAAGCACTACACTCCCAATTTCCTTTTGATTACAAATTAACCAACAAATTCAAAATAATAAAAAAGAAAAACTATTTTTAAGTTTAAGGCTTATTTCCTTCTGCGGTTCCAAACTCTGTGTGCATGTGTATGAGCAGGCGAGCGCACACCTGTGTGTTTAGTGGGTATATACTATCTGTGTCCACAAGTGCACACAAGTGCACCCGTACGCACGTGTGCCAGAGGTTGACCTCAAGCAACTTCCTCAAGGTTCTTCTTTTTCTTTTTGGTTTTTTGAGACAGGGTTTCTCAGTGTAGCTTTGGAGCTGTCCTGGAACTCACTCTGTAGACCAGGCTGGCCTTGAACTCACAGAGATTCACCTGCCTCTATCTCCCTAGAGCTGGGATTAAAAGCATGAACCACCACCACCCAGCTTTTTGTTTTGTTTTGTTTTGTTTGTTTTTCGAGACAGGATTTCTCTGTAGCTTTGGAGCCTGTCCTGGAATTAGCTCAGACTCACAGAGATCCAACTGCCTCTGCCTCCTGAGTGCTGGGATTAAAGGCATGCTCCACCACTGCCTTGTTTTTCTTTTTTAAAAAGATGAAGGTTGCTTTCTCACAAACCACCACGTTCCACTACTTGGTCCCCATAGACTTGTTGCCATATCATAATGCGAAATGTACTAGTCCAACTTCAAAAGTCCCAACAGTCTTTCCCAGTCTCAACAGTCTAAAAGCCTACCAGCTCTTCTGAGACCGACAGTCGTGAACTCTACCATCCATTGGAACCGTGAGTCCTAAACTACATGCTTTCTTTTATAAGTTACCTTGGTCATGGTGTCTTATCACAGCAATTAAAAATATCTAGGGCATGTATTTTGCTTGTATGTATGTATGTCTGCACCACAAGTGTGCCTAATCCCAAGAGGCCAGTGGATGTCCTAGAACTGGTGTTATAGCAGCCACGTGGGTACTGGGAATTGAACCCAGTCTCCTGGGAGAACAGCCAGTGCTTTTAACCACAGAGCTATCCCTTCAGCCCCAAGATTTATTTTTAATTATGTTCCACATTTATTTTCAATTTATTTTTAATTAAGTTACTAAGAGTAGACGCTGGAAGTGGTCAGAAGCTTCAAGTCCCCCTGGAGCTAGACTTACAGGCAGTTTTGGCCAGCCAGCTCTGGGGATATGCCACCTCCACCCTGCAGTGCTGGGTGACAAAGCATGCCAAGACATCTATGTGGCTTTTTATTTGAGGGCTAGGAACCAGAACTCAGAGCCTGAAGCACTTTCTTGATGAGCAACTTCCCTATCACTTTTTAAAATTGTAAACACAACACACTCTTGTCCTCTGATACTACTAATATTAGTAATATTAAATTAATATTACATAAGCTGCACACACCTCTAATCCTAGCACCCTGGAGGCACAGGTAGGAGGATTTCTAAATTCAAAGACAGCCTGGTTTACACAGTGAGTTCTAGGTCAGCTAGAGCTGTGCAGAAAAACCCTGTCTTAAAACAAAAACAAAACAAAAATACCCCAACTCTTGCTTAAGCTATAACGGCATGTAACAGTCCCTGAAATGCATGCCCTACAATTTTACTTAACTGTCATCTGAGCAACTGGATGATGCTTAATTTTTGCTTTTTGAATTATAAAACACCAGTAGGGACTGCACTTTTTTCTAGGGTATGAAAGAATGGACCTGCACCGTGATCAGAATACCTGTTTAGGATAACTTAAGACACAGAGTACATAACATAACCCAAGGGAAAGAACTGCCAAGAACCACTTAGGCTTTGAACACTGAAACTCAACAGGACTCTGACCAAACCAATGGAAAAAGGAACCCAATTACAAGGTCCGGTGGCCACACTCTTACACAGACTCACTGCCTCTCCCCAGACACTGCTGCAACACTACGATGCATACTACTCTAGCTACAGCCTGTATCAGTCTGGAAGCCTGAAGCCAGGCACAGATGTATTATTCTAAACTCTACGAGAAGCTGTACCTTATAGGAATTATGGAAACATTTGCTTAAAGGGGAAAGGAAACCACGCCTTATTTTAGTAGAATTTAATCTAGAGCATAAAGAGTGCTCTGGCTCACAGGTGAGACCCATGGCAGTCTCACACACCCATTAGCTTACCCCTTTGCTGATGTAGCCGGAAAGCAGGAGAGAGCCTATGATTATGAGGAAGGTGCCAATCAAAAACAGCACGGTGGCTAGTGCAATGGCCTTATAAGGGATCTTAGGAGGGCTTTTCTTAAACTGGAAGAGAGAAATAAAAACAATAAACAAATATGTCAAAGAACATTATGAAAATACCAGGCCCAATGTACTTTAAAGCAGAGAGGGTAACTAAGAAGCCAAGTGGATACTTCAAGTATCTTAAGTATGTCCTAAGTCAGTCTTACGTCAGTGCAACAAAGCAGGGACATGAGTAGATGATGCTCCTGGCATTCTAAACCCCTCATTACAACCAAGAAGGCCCTTTAAAGCTACTGCCACCTAGCTGTCTTACTAAGTACATGTGCACGGAAGCTTACACTAACCTGTGGGGATTTCAGAGCGAGCACCATGCTCTGCAGAGTGAAAAGGTGACTTCTGCAACTGAACGTAACTTAGCATGCAGTCAGGCAAAAGTTTAGAAATAGAATTTCAACTTTCCTTTTTTTAAAAAAAAAAGATTCACTTTTTAAAAATTGTGTGGAGGTATGTACATGCGAGTGCAGATGCCTGTGCAAGTCAAAGGAACTGGATCCTCCAAGAGCTGTAGTTACAGGCAGTGTAAGCCACTGGACATGAATGGTGGGAACCAAACTAGGGTTCTCTGCAAGAAGAGTACTTGTAGACAGGAGAGATGGCTCCAGGGTCAAAGCATTTGCCTTCCAGATGACCTGAGTTCAATTTCCAGCACCCACATGGTGACTCACAACTCCAGGTCCAGATGACACCACACCCTCTTCTGGCATCTTTGAGTACTGTATATCCATGGTACACTGACAGGGGTTTGGTTCCTAGCACAGGTTATGAGCATGGGCGGCTCATAACCTGTAACTCTAGTTCCCAGAGATCCAATGCTTGCTTTTGGCTGTCTTTGGGCACCAGGCACACACATGGTGCACATGAAAGCAAAACACTCCTACACATTAAACATAAATATAAAATATTAAGAACACTAGAAGACTATGTGCTGTTAACTGCTGAGCCACCTCTCTGGCCCAAATTTCAGCTTTCTCAAAGCACTACATTCTGAGTAAATTCAGGTCAAGATCAGAAACAGATTGTGGGTAAAATACAGCATGAACACATACGAAAATGTCACAACGAACCCCACTATTATGTACAAATAATATATGCCACTAAAAACATTTCTAAAATGGTTTAGAGGCAAACCTTCTAAGATTTGGCTCATTTCTGAATCTGATGTTAAGTGGAAGCACACCAGAGCTATTCTTACCTTTCTTCAAATAAGTCCAAAGAGTAATTGATTTATTTACATGTAAAAGAATGGATTCCAAAAAAAAAAAAAAAAGAATGGATTCCTTCTTGCTACTTCACCCCCGGCTCAAACTTCACCCTGAATTAACTGATAATGACCTGAGTTTACTCAGAATGCAGTGCTTTGAGAAAGCTGAAATTTGGGCCAAAGAGGTAGCTCAGCAGTTAATAGCACATACTGTTCTGGTGTTTTTAATATGAATACTAGAATATTCTATCCTAAGGGAAAGAGGGGAAAAGGAGATGCTATCCTACTTGAGGTCAGGAGAGGACACAAACTTATTTACTGGCTGTCTGCCATAAAGAGTATCTGTAACTAACTGCATCCCATGACATCAGGAAAGAAGATACTTTCTGGATAACAGCATAAAAGTTGTAGCTACATGGCTTTAGCACTTCAAGTGAAACGGGAAATGGGTAACTCTGTAACGGTTTAAAATGGCCCTGCCAAGACCCCTTCTCCAAGCTGGGGCTGGAAGGGTCTTAGAAATAAGCTTGCTTTTTGCTAATCCCGATAACAGATACACAGCTACATGATTTATTTGTTGGTTGGTTTATTTCCAATTGTGTTACCTGAAGGTCAATGTAGCCATCGTCTGTGCTGGCAAGTCTTGAATATTTTACTTTACTACTGGGGATTCCAGTCGCCAGGTTGGTACGGGATGGCATCATAACACGGCGGCACGGCTAGTCTGGAAGGAAAGACTGTTACTGCCATAGAAATAATAGTGCATGACGGGCAAGGGCATCAGGTACTGTGCACTGGAGTTCTGCAATGCCATGTTCTATATCACATACATGGCAACTTAGGCTGCACTGCCCTTACAATGACTGATACCTCTTGGACACGCTAAGCACACTTCCTCTATGTATCTGGCTTGTCTTCACGGAATGACATCGAATGATGCATTTCACATAACATCAGACCTTGTTACTTTGCCACCAATGTTTCCAAATTCTTCCCAAGTCACACAGAGGTGAGTGAAGACTTGAACTCACATTTTCAACTCCTCCCTTGCAGTACTGCCTGCCCTTTAACTTTCCTCAGGCTGTTATTTTCAAGTTAACCTTTTGTTTGCGATGAGGGGAGGATAAGCAATGGTACACACTCACATCTTCGCTTTGTCTACTCTAGATGTGATACCATCCTAAGAGCAAGTGATCCGAAAAATCTCATCAACGTGGGTAACTTACTGGCTATCAATACCACACCAGAAACTTCAGAGCCACCTGCCTCTCTGCTCCCATCCCAAGCATGAAACAAGTGATTTTACTTCCCACATCATGCAGCTCCTGAAATAATGGATTTAAAAAATCTGTTTTACTCAAACTATTCAAATCAGACAGCAGTAACAAAATCATAACTACTGTATTATTTGAGAGTAGGGAAGGTTTAAAAACAATGACGTTTAAATTTTAAAAAATTTAAAATTTGAGCTCTTACTGCAGTAGGTGACTAATACCAATCAGCTCCTTGGGAGGACAGGTGTGAATTATGAAGTTGGAGGACAGTCTGGGCTGCATAGTGAGACCATATGCTCTCCCCTACCATGATGGAAATTTGCAGATTCTTTACAAAGTCATAAAATTATGTAAACAAAACGGTATTTTAATTGCAAAAGTAATTGTAAAAGCTTATATCATTAAGAAGAAAACTAAGCTGGGCGGTGGTGGCTCACAGCTTTAATTCCAGCACTCAGGAGGCAGAGGCAGGCAGATCTCTGTGAGCTGGAGGTCAGCTTGGTCTACAGAGCGAGTTCCAGGGCAGGCTCCAAAGCTACACAGAGAAACCCTGTCTTGAAAAACAAAACAACACACAAAGAAGAAAACTAAGTATTTCGAAAGCCAGGCCTTCACTGGTGTGGTATTTTGCACATCATCTCCATAAAGGCATGTGGTATTCATTTGATCTTGGTGAGGTGTCAGACACTGCTATTACAGTCGAGCTAAAGTAACTAGCATGCAAAAACTGGTGCCAAATGTTTCTGCCTTTTGTTAATTACAGTCTAGCTCAAAGCCGAGTATTAAAAAGCGGCAACGTGTTTCTAAAATTGTTAGATCAAGTTGCGTTAAGTACCAAGATTTTTGGGTTTTCATCCAATAACATGCTTAATTCCTTAAACCTGAAAAGCCAAGCTACCAATAAGCGAGTTTTGAGGCAATAAACCACGCCTGATTTGTAGTACATGCTACAAAGTTACGTGCTTTGTCATTATAAACTTGCATCAAAACAAAAATGTTGGCGGAGTATGACGGGAAAGGAAGATCTGTGCTTTTTTTAGCCCAGGATTCTAGAAGGGAGTTATCACATCCTAAATAACAATTCTAAAAACTACCAGCCCAAGTTTCTGCTATGCTTTTACCGGTTCCACAGCAACCTTCGCCACCCCCCACACCCCCAAGCACCTGCGCGTGGCGCTGTGGGCAGCCTCCCGCCGGCCTCCGCCGTCGCCACCCACGGTCAGGACCCACGCGAACTTAGCACTGACAAAACTGGCTCCCGGGAGCAGCCTCGGCGGCGGGGCGAGGCCTCGCGGATGGCTTCCGGGAGCGCGCTCCCGCCCCCTATCCGCTAGGCGCTCTAGCACCGCTTGCCCAACAGCCAACGACGGTCAGAGAGCCAGCCCACCGGAAGAGGTGGACGAACAGGCGCCCCGGAAGTGGCGCCACCAGGAAGCCACGTCATCACACCCAGCGGTGCAAGGTGGCAGAGTTTCTCCACGTAGCGTTGGCTGTGCTAGGACTCCCTACGTTAACCAGGCCGGCCTTGAATTCGGAGTTCCCCTTGCTTCTGCCTCCGGAGTGTTGGGAATACCCAGCGGGCCAGCAGTTTGGTCTTGTGCTGGTGACCCTGGCCTGCCACCTCGATATGGTGGGTGGGCATAGAGCCCTTCCTACTGGGATGGAACCCACAGCAAGGCTGTTCACGTGGTCCCAGCTGACTCATCATGCCCAAGTCTGTGCATAGCTGAGCCCCCGGGATCCGGAGGGGTGGGCAAAGAACTGACCAGGAACCTTCCCCTATCCTATTCAGCCTTTCCCCGAATCCGGTCTGTACCCACTGGAGTTTTTAGTCCCAAATTCTTCTGCTTGTTTCCGTAACCCCGCCCATATTAAGAGTTCTAACTATCCTCATGGAGCAGTGACCAGACTTCATTAAGCATGCCCATCACCCCAGAGTTCTGTAAGTGGGGTGTTATTTGCAGCCAATTAATTTCCTTCTCTGCGAGTTGGCACAAAACTTTGAATAGTAATAGCTACTGGGTATGAGCTCTGATTACCTAGAATTAGCAAAACAAATGGCCAAACACAAAGTACATTGGGAAAACTAATTTGAGAACTGGAGATAGCTCAAGTGTGGCCCTCCCATAAACCCAGACAAGACTTGCTCTACAAGCCCTGGGTTTTCCACATGCATGCCCACATAAAAATTAGAGCGGGATGGTGGGGTAACTTGGATGATCAGTACTGGGTGAAGGCACTTGTCTCCAAGCCTGAAGAACTGCACTTAACCCTGGAAGCCACATGATAGTGGGTGTACCAATGCCTATAAATTGTCTCTGCACTCTACATGTGAGCCTCCACACATACACAGTAATACAAAACATTCAAGTATTCTTTAGTATGTAGTATGTCATGACTTTTCTTTAAACCCACAAAGCCTTTTAAATCCTTCTTGCTTAGATATCCACAAGATTCAAATTAGGCCTTCGAGATGGGGGTCTATGTAGTCCTGGCCAGCCCAGGAAGCGATCCACCTGCCCCTTGCCTCTTGTGCTGGGATCAAAGTATTTTAAAAGCTCCACCTCAAACAAGACTACTCATACTAGAAAATATTTTATATAACCTAATCACAGACTAAGGCTAAACATCTATTGTCACCTTCATGATGCATTTAACTCCAGGCTGCTTTAAAATGGGAAAAAAACAAAAAGCCATTACATAAAAGGGTAACTTCCACTGAGTTCAGAAGTCATGCTTCAAGACACTGTTGACTTTTGAAATTCAGTTAACTTTATTTAAATTGAAAAACATTTCCTGAAACTGTATTTAGCGTCAAGATCATTTATAAAAATCACCAGTATTTCTAATGTAAAAAGTTTATGTAAAAAGAACCAGTTTTTACTTTGAAGTTTATTCTTTAAACAAATTGTGAAGAGAAAGAAAAAGTAGGTTATTTACAGAAGATATCTACATATGTACTCAGGTACAAACTTGGTGACAGAAAAAGACTTTAAAACATGCTGGCATGTCAGAAGCAGTTCTCCAAGGGGATTAGTTTTCTCAGATTCTAGCAATGCCTAAGATCCTTCTTCATCTTCGATCTTGGGAGCCAAATAATATTTTAAGTGTCCCATGTCAGAAATTTTGTATTCTACAACTGAAAGACAGGAAAAGTTAATTACTGAGGAGTATTAAATACCACACATAAAACAATGCTCAAAGTTAATATCTTACCAAGAGGTACATCTGCAGACATACTGAGTGTTACCGTAGGAGACAGTGGTGTGGCTTTTGTGAAAAAGTTCAGATACCTCAGTGCAAAAGTTAGCTGAACCGGCTCATTCATGTCTACGGTTACCTAGGAGAAAACAGGCTCACTATAGACAACATCAAGAAACTTAGATTAATTCATAATACACAGCACAAAGCAACACCTTTAGTTACCACTTTGGAAGGTTTCTTATGAAAACTTAGAGGAGACTTAGGAAAAAAAAGTATTTAGCTTGTTTCTCCTGTAGAACTGTACCCCAAGCAAGCAAAACAAAGGCAGCTTATCCAGGCAACCACTAATCTCGTCTAAAGAATATAGAGGAAAAAGAAATGGAATGGTAGCTAACCAGTAAAGCACTTGACTAGTATGAGTACAAGCAAAGTTCTGGGTTGAATGCCGACACTCAACTCCCACCCCAAAAAGTAACCCGGGCTGGAGAGCTGGCTTAGGGGTTAATACTCAATGTTTTTCCAGAAGACCTAAGTTTGGTTCCCAGCATCCACATCCAGTAGCTCATAACCAAATCCAATCACTCCAGACCCAAGGGATCTGACACCCTTTTCTGACCTCAGGGGCTCACACTGACACACAACCACGTCTAAAAACAAGAAAGACCAACAGATTGAATGCAGGCTAAGGGACATGTTGACCAATTTCCATTGCATCAGCATCAATTTTATTCAAGTCTAACTCAAACTAATGAAGTAAGAACATGTGAATACTGAAAAATTCCTTAATTTCCTTTCTTGTAGTAATGCTATACATCAAACAAAATACTTAGGAATTAAATGTGTTGAGATCTGAGGTTGACAGGGAAGCAGAAATAATTCAGCACAGACTGTGTGTGTGTGTGTATATATATATATACACACACACACACACACACACACACATATATAGTCTAATTATTATACATTTATTTTAAACTCATGCAGAGGACAAGTTGATACTTGTGCCAAACATTCTGGAATTTCACCATATTTAGCCCTAAAATAATTTAGTTCAGACTTCTGCCTGCAATCCTGTTGCCTGTGCCCCAGTCTAAGTTGACACTCAACTCTGCTCAGCCTGCTTCTGCACCACTGAATGGGCTAGCACATGAACCTCCAACTCATAAGCTACTACTAAAAGAACTACATGATCCCAACAGACTTTCACAACCCCAAACATTTTCTTCTGTTCACATGCTAACCCTCACATATTTGTCAGTCACTTCTAGGAAGCAAAACGTTGGACACCTAGTTTTCCAATCCCATCCGTGACAACACACGGAGTTCAAAGACAGCCTGGCCTACTCAGACTCCATCTCAGAAAAGCTAGGGTTGGAGAGCTGGCTCAACAGGTAAGCTTGTATTTCCCTTTCAGACATTAATTATGCAACAACTCTTGCTACTTACAGCTTCCTCCTCTTTATCAACGTTACTTGTTTGTGACAACTTAATGTGTCCATTTCCAAGCTCTCCACTTGCAGAAAACGTCACCCCGTTCTTTGCACAGGATATTACCACAGCATCTCCAATATGGCTAAGGTCTCGGCATATGCGTGCAAATTCACCAGAAGGCATCTTCACTACACAGCTGTACTCCTGTTCCTGTAAATCCCAAAGTTAAAGGTCAGTAATGACAAGCGTGAAGACTGCTTTACTCTAATTTTAGACTGGCAGAGCTTAGTGAAATTGTGCCATTCATTCCAAATCCCACAACCCCACTGTGGAACATGCAGCAGCTGCTATCACAGCTTGGGAAAATACACCATCAAAAACAAGATAGTCTGCCAGCACCCAGGAGGCAGAGGCAGACAGATCTCTGTTGAGTTCGAGGCCATCTAGTCTACAGAGTGAGTTCCAGAACAGCCGGGGCTACAGAGAGAAACCCTGTCTTGAAAAACCAAAACAAGATACTCACAGGGATTCCAAGTTGCTCAACATCTAAGTCCATTAACTTCATTTCATAGTCTGAAACTTTCTCTTGATCTAACAAAGAAAAGCAAATGTTACTGAAGCACATGTTTACAACTACGATGTAAAATTTATAACCATAATAATTCTGATGTTTAGTGTCGAGAACATCATACATTGTTTTACTTTCTCTTGATCTAACAAAGAAAAGCAAATGTTACTGAAGCACACGTTTACAACTATGATGTAAAATTTATAACCATAATAATTCTGATGTTTAGTGTCGAGAACATCATACTTTGTTTTCTGTAACTGAGTATTAAAGGTGTTAACTTACTTGGTGCTTCAAATACAAGCGCTAAGGTGTCAGCGTTATCTTCAGCCCTCAGTGTAATTATGTCTTCATTGCCAGCACACTTTAGTATTTTGGACATGCTACAAAACAAGACACAAGGCTTATCAACATGGGCTCAACAGCTACGTTCTTAAAGGCAATTTCAAGATGTTACTATTTCACACCCACACCGATGGAGGAACAGTTAAACAGGCTACTCCAAATACCCTCGGAGTGAAGTAAACTATTGGGAGTTGTGACTCTTAAAACCCACTAAATGGCAATATGCCAGGAAACATTTTTTTTTTGGTTTTTCGAGACAGGGTTTCTCTGTGGTTTTGGAGCCTGTCCTGGAACTAGCTCTTGTAGACCAGGCTGGTCTCGAACTCACAGAGATCCGCCTGCCTCTGCCTCCCGAGTGCTGGGATTAAAGGCGTGCGCCACCACCGCCCGGCCAGGAAACATTTTTTGAGCAAGGTGTCCTTGTCTTCCAGTGTCCTAGGAGAGTGTGCCCTATCACGTCTGACCTTTTCATAAATCTTTAAAGAATGTAAAGAAGTGATATTAAAGCCGGGCGATGGTGGCGCACGCCTTTAATCCCAGCACTCGGGAGGCAGAGGCAGGTGGATCTCTGAGTTCGAGACCAGCCTGGTCTACAGAGCTAGTTCCAGGACAGGTTCCAAAGCCACAGAGAAACCCTGTTTCGAAAAACCAAAAAAAAAAAAAAAGAAGAAGTGATACTAATTCATGTATCTGTAGCAAAATTAAGTCACACATAGCCATTGAATACGCGCACAGGTGGCGCTAATCCAAGGAGCAGAGGCAAAGCTAAAAACTAAGACTGGCAAATTTTCCCACAAATGATGCGCAGTAAAATTTCG